CAACAGCTGTATCCTGAAAAAAGACAAAAATACAGCTCATAGTTTTGTGAGATTTCCTATACCACAATCAATTCTGCTCATTCTGCATCTTTGTAATTAAACTTCTATCTAATGTAAACTTTAAAAATCTTCAGATGCATTAAAATATGCACCCCCAAGAGCTGTCTTCACCAAGCAATATAATAAAAGATGATGACAATAGGGACAGTGTATCTTCATATTGCCAGGCTTCAAAGACACAGTTAATAACATTTTATCTATTAGCACTTCTGCTAGCTACATTCAGACATTCCACTGTATGTAATAACGTTTTAAGTACAAAAATCATGAGAAAACGGTTTCAGTTAGGAACTTAAACCAATCAATTACTGTGTGCTGACTTGGGTCCACAAACTGTCGTAATATTAATTTACCCTACTTTGCATACATTGATGATTAGTTAAGTCTGTTCATTACACGATTACTAAACTATCTGAAAAATGTATGACGTTACCACAGTAACTTTTAAGTTACATACATGATTCATGAAATTAATATTACTTCAAATTTAAAGTGTGATGATGCAATTTTATTGCATTAAACATGCAGCTTTTTGCAAAGGACACACAGAATTTTGTCAGTTGTTTCATAAGACAATGTATTTCCAATGAAATAGTTCTTTTAAAACTTTTAAAACAAAGTTTAGAATCTGCCTATGCAACACAAGATGATCAGGTTGAATTTGTAATTTAAAGCTCTGATCATGAATAACACCCAATCCCAGAGTATGCACAAGTTTTCTTGTAAACTTTTCAATTACTAGACTCTTAGACATTTCTGAAGAACAACATTATGTACTTCTGCAGCCAAGCCTGCAAAAAATCTGTCACAGAGGAGGGAAGATTACATTAGGAGCCACTGACACGAGAGGTGAAATTGCAGCCCAATGCAGTTAGTGGCTAGCTACTCATTGTTTCTAACAAAGCAATGATTTCATCTAGAGAATGATACAGAATTTGTCATTTTCCACACTATTTATTGCTGTACCCCAGACATCCTACACAGGGGGCAGCGCAAGTAGAAGTGACATGTGTCTTTGTTGTGGTTTTATTTTGAAAGTGAAGAAGAAATGTATTTTTTTTTCATGTGAAAACTGTTTCTTGTTCCTTCCATATTCAAATAAAACACTGACAATAGCAATGTTCTTAAAATTTGAATAAATGGGCCTTATATTTGGGACTTTCAGAAACAACACCTCAAAGCATGAACAGAAAGGCAACTACTGAAAAAAAAATCTCAGGTTTTCTTCTGCTGCTGAGATTAATATGCATTAAATAGCCAGATTGCAGTATATACAGATCACAGGAGTCAATTACATTGAATTTAAAGAGGCTGACTATGCTTTCACAACACACACATACTCATGCCAAATTTTGTAATAGGATTGATTTAAATTCATGTTGACAATAGAAACAGGAACGCATATATTCACTACCCTAACACCTTCCTTTTCTCCCCCTCTTTCTCCTCTTCTTTTACCAATTTTGTCTTTATTTAATTTTCATTACTTGTACAATATAATTTTATACATTGTAAGTTCATATTTTAGAATGCTGACCTGTAAGCATTTTTGCAGTTTATTTAGGTGTTCCATTTTATTAACAGCATGAACTTTTCAGGATATAATTTATGTCCAGTTGAAGCTTTTCATAAAATCAGAAGACATTTTTTTCCTCTCAAAAAGTGATATATTTGCCCATTGTATGTATTTAGAAAAAGAAATTTAAGAATTGAAGCTCTAAATTGCATTAAGGTTATATACCTATCTAAAAGCTGCAAAATTTCTAAAATCTCCAACAGAAAAATTACAGTGATCAGTCTACATAACAGAGCCAACATGTATTTTAAATTTTTAAAAACATTTTAAGTTTCTTCTTGACCTGAGAAACACATTAGTAGAACTGCTTGGTAAAAGTAGCAATAATAAATATAATCAACTCACAGAGTTGATAATATTTATTAACTGAGATGATAATATCAAGATGTTTGTGTCACAATAAGTTGAAAGATTCTATTAATTCCAAAAAGAACTGAGAAACCATATGAGTACTAGGAAGGACAAAAAAGATATCACGCATCTTTTGCTGAGGTAACAATGAAAACCCTTTACTCTCTCTGAGACTATGCCTGATGTGTTCTTAATAGAGAATTTGATGAGGTCAATGGAATTTGCATTGTCCTGTAACATCACATTTAACTACTGGCCTGTAAAGCATCAGGACTGTGATTGTTAGCTATTTGAAATACTGCAAAATCTCACTCTGTCTTCAGACTTAAGAATTAAACATTGTCGTGATTTAGATCAACCACACTTGAATAAAAATCAAAATCCCTAGAACCCTCTCAAATGACAGCATTAGTGTTTCACTATCAATGTAAATAATACAATCTTCTAATACTACCATTATGGGGGCTGGGAAAAGAACAAAATCAGTACTTGTAATGTAGGATGGTATTCACAAAGACTTGTTACCTGCACACCATATCTCTCAAAGGAAGAATATGATTACCTTCAAATTCTGTCTATGGACTGTATGGTTTTGTAGAACATTTTTCTTGCTACTCTTGAACTTTCTATGCCCAGCATAACCTCCAGACTCATAAATTTATTAACCAACAGGTTGCAGTTCAGTATCTAGTAGTTTGGATATGCAGATAAGAGTTGCTCCAAATTAACAAACAACTAGAACATTAAACCATCCCCTTAAGAAAGGTATACAGTTCAATTATTTTTTGTGAACTGTTACTTGACTGGGCTTTTCACGCATCTGAACCACCACATTTCTATGATTTCAATTAAGAAATCCAGTATCCATACCTGGGTTCCACAGGTACAAATGGAGGCCCACTGCTTCTGAAAGGCTTCAGTCAGAAAGTGGGGCTGTCACTGCTAGATATTTGAGATCTGAGGGTTTTGTTTTAGACTTGCATGTCTTATAGAAGACTTTCAGAACTCTTCTGCAGCTTTCCATGGGAGTACCCAAGGGCTTTGAGCTTAGCCTCTCTACATCTTATTTAGAAAGTGCAACCTCGGCGAGTACCTCTACCTTACTGATTCAGTGCATTGCAACAGGTCTTGCTAAATGCAGATCTGTCTTGCATTTATGGGTAGAATCTTGCAGTATGAACCTGAGAACATCACAACTGTGCTTGAAAAGGTGTTACTCTGCTTAAGCATTCCCTTTAGAGATGTGGGTGTCAGATCCTCTAGCAGCTAAATTATTATGAGCATGTGGTGTGCATTCAGAAACTGAAAGTGGTGGAAACTTCAATGCTGGTAAAGGCACAACAAGGAAATATGGACCTAGAATCATAATGGATCTCTCAAAGTTACACTTTGGGGTCCTTCCCCTTTCATGATGCATAACTCAGTAACATATGGGGATGACAGGCAAGATCCACTTTCCGCCAGGTATGTCTCACAGATATTCAAATTAATGACAATCCCTGTACCCAACAATTTATTCTATGTATCTCATAACTAGATAATTGACAACACCTCTAAACAGAGCTTTTCACTCATTATCCTTCTCACCCTTCTTTCTTAATCATTATGGTCAACACGATCATTTCATCTATTAAGAACACCTATTGCCCTCACATGAGTCTCCATTTGGAGTCCTCTCTGGAGCTCCTCCTATCCCCCATGTTCAAATACAGCTAATTCATTCTTCAGGGTATCTTTATTTCCTACTTTCTCATTTCATCTACACAGATGAGATGCCCTTAAAAGTGCTCATTTCCTCCCTGTATTGCCGTAAAGTACCTTTCTATGAACTGATCAGTGCAGTCTGCACTGCTCGTTTCCATCCAAACCAATTTTGAAAAAAAATTGTGTGACTATTTAAATATGTAATTTCTTTCTTTGTGCTTGGAAAGTGGAAGACCCATTACAGAGGAAGGCCTATATGCTTTTCACGGTTCTATCATCTCTCTCCATTCTCTAGTAAGCTGTCAAATCCAACTCTGAATTGGCAAACCACCTTTATCCTTTATCCCCAATTGCCTCTCAAGGTTAGAAATAATTCTCAAAAAGCATTAACAAAAGCAATCTGTTATTTTCCTCTAAATCTCTCATCTGTCAAAACACATGAAAAATTTAGCAGTCTGCTGATGTACTCAGATCAGTGAATGTTATGCTGACCAATATTATCTTATTGCCTCTTTGCACTGCACTGTAAACATGTTGACTCTTGTATTATACTTGAACATTAAACTCTGTAGGAAAAGTATCTCTTGTTCAGTTCTATAGCAATTTCTAACACATTTTATTAGGAATTCTAGGGGTAGTTTCAATACACATAGCGAACACCAAGATGATAAGAGCAGGGAAATACTTCATTCCAAAGCCACTTCATACAGTAACAGAACATTTCTGAACATGAAATATAAAAGCAATGTTGAGATTTTACTCTTAATTCATACTGCTTACAGGAAAGAATTTATTTTTAAAAAGCATATTCACATAACAAAGATGACTATATCATCAAATTGAAGAACAATGAAAGAATGAAGAACAATAACAACTGTTCTAAATTTTTTCCTTCATTCTGGATAGTGACTAATCAACTTCAAAACCAGCAACAAAACCATAACAAAACAAAAAATCCCAAAATACAATATCACGATACCTTTACAATGCATTTTTAATTCAAAGCAATTAGAGATTTGACAAGTCCTTCACATCTTGTCAGTATTTATGTCTCCTCTTGTGTAAGAGCTACTCTTTTTGTTATCATAAATAGGTATAAAACTGTGTTTAAATACTTCTCATTTTCTGTAACCTTTGATAACCAATAACACAATCACAGTGTTTAATTGTGTAGTATGTAAAACTAAATTAGAAGTAAGTTCTGTATTTCAAAAATCATTGTTAAACAATAGTAGGAAAACCATTTTTAAAAATCATGTTATAAAGGCTTTTTTTCTTTTCATAATTATTTCTATTTCTTTTTCTGCAGACTTGCTCTTTAAGAAACTGGATTACCTAGAACTAAGAATAATATCTGAAGGTAGAGTTTCTTTACCTCAAGAAAAGCATCAAAAATGCAGTTGAATTACCCCATCCATTAACCATAGGAAAAAAGAAAAGGTGCGAGGCATAAAATCCATGAATATGTGTCAGGAGATACACATGGATAACATGTTTGTACCTATATTTAACTGTACTTGTTAAAAAATACAAACATTTATATTGAATGTCTGAAATTTAATCTTTGTATGATGCAAGTTTGCCCTAGTTAAAAAGATAGGGTATATGATGATGTGCAAAAGGCAGCAGGATTGCTGCCTGCATTTTTTCCCATGAAAATAGCAGATAGGACATCAATTTACCTTACAAAATGACTCATTAGTTGGGATGAAGTTCAGTTAAATTCTATGAAAACTTAGATAATGAATACTGGGCCATACTAAACTCCAGCAGATAGAGATTTCCCTAGAATCACAATATAAAAGAGGGAAATCAGTAAATTTGCCTCCTATTCTACTTTCTTATCAAACTTCTTTATTAATACTGACAAGTTCTTCTTCTTTTTATTTTTTTATTTTTTTTTTTTTTACTAACTTTAGGACATGGAACAGAAATTGGGACCTTTAGCTCCCACTAAAGTTTTCTTTCAATTTTTCAGTTTGTCAGCAGATTTCATAGTCTTCTGGGATAAAGCAATTATGTGGCACTAATATTCAGGAATTATACATTGATACGTTAAAACAAATGCTATTTCCTTATTAAAAGCTGAACATTCAACTTGGCATTCACATGCAATGGAAAATGTCAGCAATTCAATACTAGTTTTAAATTATACAGCATATTATATTTTTTTCATTCTGATACAAACAACATATAATGAGATTTACACAGTAAAGTTTTGGTAACTATGGTTTGAAAGAAATATAGTATGCATACAAGAAATATGAGAAGTATTTATATATTGTCTACTATCCCAAGGTATATTTATGGCATTTGCTTTTCTGAAAAGCTCTTTTAAGAAAATATAGAACAGCATTTCTAGAAAAGAGTAGCTTGAAATGGTATAAACATTTCAAAAAAATAAGAATCTTTGTAATCCTCATGTGTGAGTTTCATATAGAAACATTTATAGACATTATTAAGACATATGTGCAGTAGCTGTTTTATGTTCTGCTGATCTATTTCCAGGTTTCTAATCAGCATCAAATTAATTTATGCTCACATTTCCTGAATCACAGGCACTTCTGAGTCACTAAAATTCTTTGTAAAAAAACAGAAAAAGTCAATTTAACTATTTTGATAGTTTAAAATATGGTTAAATTTTGCATTTTTTTTTAAAGGCAAGGATAATCGATGTACTGTGCTAAGAGTAACTCTAAAACAACTTTTTACTATTTGCCTTTTCTGAGGTAACTGCTCATTCCCTAAGTCATGCAAAACAAAAAGGAAAAAAAAAAGGCCAGCATTTCTAGAAAATGTCTTAACCTAGTTAAAATAATCCTCTATGGCTTTGGTTCACAGAAGCTTTATTAGTTTTCTGAACTCCATAGTGGGACAAACTACTTCATGCATGAAGGGATCAGCATTCCTGCTTCTAATCATTGTCATTGTACCCACTACAAAGCTTTCTGAACATCTCCTATGGATAACACATGCTATCTTAATCAACCCTCAATTAATAACTTTATACTTGCATTTCAGTTCTGCCACTTCTATATACTGTCACTATTGTTTCTTGAGGATGATTCTGAAGCCTTAACTGAGTACACTGTGATTATAGTACTTTTCCACCACAAATACATTCTTACACTGAAAGTGTCCAGACAGCAGTTTCCAGTGAATAAATGCAACGGCTTAATACAATGAGTTATTCTCTTATAATGCCCTTGTCTGCTGTGACGGCCCTGTAACCATGTTTTAGTTACAGGATGTTACACTTTTTCCATGTGCTTTGATAAGCAATGTGGTAACTGCCACTGTTTACATAAAAAAGTATCAGAAAGCTCGGCTAGTATCAGCCAAAACTTTAATACTTCAAAGCTATTTCTTTCTACTCTGGGTTTGCTGGTGCACTATATTTCAGTCTTCTGAACCTAATACATGTGGACTCGAAGAAAGAAACTTAGAAGCCAACGGTTCTTGCTTAAAATTATTAATATTTGAATTCATTTGCTAACTCAACTTACCTGTCTCCTCCGACAAAAATCACTTATACCTTTCTAAACCATTTCCTGCCCACTCTGATGATGGTGGTGGTTAAATGCTAAGGGGAACGTTAAAAGAACACAGACTGACGCCACACTGATTGTTCTCCCCTGCAAAGGTAAATAAAAGTAGTATCACCTGAAGATTCTCACAGGATGAAAGGCTTGCTGAGAGAAAGAAATGACTAAACTAGATTTAGCTTTTAAAAAGCTTCCCCTTATTCCTATTCAATCAGCTCTTAATCTTCCAGGAATATCTAATAACATTTACATACTGTACAGCTGACAAACAGCAACATCCACTGTTTCCCAGAATACAGGTAGGTAGCACCAGAAATGTAAGCGGAGTCTGCTATGCATTCCACCAGGATAAGTGTGTACATCAGAATTTGTCTCTCACAATTTGTAAATGCATAGCAGTTTTCCAATATATATAATTGGAAACTGACAAACAAAAAGGTTCATTATATATATATGTACAACATACCTTTATGTAACATAATATATATAGATGTATATTTATATATATACACATATATAAAACTGACAATACAAAAGGTCTGTTTTCCTTAACTACATTCTATGGACAACTTAGATACAGTCCAAGCACAGATGAAAAACACAGGCTCAGGTTACAGACAACAGCATATTGCATCTACAACAGTAAAGCATGCATGTGACAAGCTTTTATTTAATAAAGATACACGAAAACCAATTAAAAATTTTTAGCAAAAGGCAAGCTGCATGGCTTATTGAGACCTGACTAGTGTGCTGCAAACTGTATAGGAAAGACAAAAAAGGTATCCACCAGTATCTGGTAGCTAAGTTTGTGAAGAAAGCCTAAAAAAGCCATAGAAAACATAAGTAAGAATTGAAGATCTACGCATGTCATCAAATAAACAGTGGTACTTTTCTAATTATTGAAAGTGGACTTTGACAAAAAGTACAGTCTGCCTGGAAATGAATATACGAATGGCTCATGCAAGTAATAGAACTTAGGTGTGGAAAGGCAGGACTTCAAAAAGAAGATACTACTTATACAGTCCCTAAAGTAATCACTCTAAAGAAAACATATGGGTGAGTGGAAAAGATGACAATCTGAGAGCAACAAAAAAGCGTGAAAAGAATTACTATATATCACCACAAAAGCTGTCATGGAAATATTACAGGCTACAAAACAAAAAACCCTAATTTTAAGTTGGTATGGTTGTGAACTGGAAAGAAATAGAATTCTGGGATTGTAATACAGTTTCAGTAAGGTACAGCCTATGTTCAAAGATAGTTGCTCATAATAGGGATGGCGCAAGAGTTAATACTGTGGACGGCTGCTCCCTGACAAAATGGAAGCACTATGCAGGCAGCTTTCGGGAGAGATATAATAAAGAAAAGCTTTGAGCAAGTATGGCCTGCATACTTCCTAGATTGTTTAAAGGTATTGTGTAAAGTCACATTAAAAATTATTGAGAAAGAAAAGCTAAAATTAGCATAGGTGACTACAGATTTAAAGATTATTATTCTGACATTGGTAAATACAAACACATAATTTTTGTCATCTGGTTTGCCTTAATCAAGAGCTAAAATTCATTTATAACACTATACACAAATGCCATGTTTATATCAATATCATATGCAGCTTGCATGAAAAAATATACATTAAAATGAAGAACAGCAATTCATGTAATGGTCAAAGACAACCAATAACGAAATCAAATTCTGATTGTCAAACATAATTTACTATGTATATTTCTTCTCTTCTCTGATAAAACAGTGATTATTAGAACTAAAAGTGATATGAGCGTTTATGACTTCTTATTAAAAACCCTGACTTAAAGCAGTGTTCATTTAAGCTTAAGGTTAAAGAAAATCATGTTGAGATCTCTGTGCGATGGCCTAGTGACTTTACATCCTCTTGTCAAACCTCAGCAGTTTTATTTGTAGTGATACATGCTGGAGAAGGTTGGAGGTTAAAGTTGATAGGATGGCCAACAGGAAAGCCAACCAACTTCTTTCAAAAGATTACAACCTTTAACATATTATGATCTGCTGGCAGTTACTGACTTTAATCATTACTGTTAACTTTGTATGTCTACAGTTGTATACTCTTCTGTGAGCCGATCCCCAAACTTCAGACCAACAAGATTTATAAAACCACCCTCTTACTACTTTCCTTCCATTATTCTTTCATATTCTTACTGTTTAAGCACTTATTATTTTGTTATATTATATTGGTGCTTAGTACTTATTAGTTTTTAGACAAACATTAATGGGTAGATAGTTTTTTCCTCTCATTTCTACAGCCTAATTTTCTATCTCACCCTGAATATTGAATAAATGATTTCCTTGTTCAGGAAATCTGACAGTAACAGCAGCACAGTCTACTGGACTAAAGCTCTTCAGATTTCCCTTCCACTTATTTCAACATCGAGTCCTCTGTGACTTCAAAAAAAAAAAAACAAAAAAACAAAAAAACCCTGATAAAAATAATAATAAAATCACACAAACACTGAATAACTGTGGTAAAAATGGACCTCTAGATATTGTCTAGTCCTGCTCAAAGTAGGGTGAACTGAAGATAAACGTTCCAGGCTTTGTCTAGTTGGGTTTTGAATATCTCCAACGATGAAGACTTCACACTCTCTCCAGACAGCCTGCTCCAGGGTTTGACAAGAACAAGAAAGTAAGACAGGTTTTTCACAAATTTCAATAAATTTTCCTATATTTCAATTTGTGTCCACTGCCTCTTGTCCTCTCACTGGGCATCAGTGAGAAGACACGGGCTTCATATTACTTACTCCCTCCCGTAAGGTATTTATATTGCTAAGCTCCCACTTGATCCTGCTCTTCTCCCCACTAAACAGTTGGAGCTCTCTCAGCCTCTCCTCACGTGAAACATACTCCAAACCCTTCATTGTGTTTGTGGCCCTTCACTGGATTTGCTGCAAGTTACTGTATCAGTACAATTGTAGATCTTATGCTGTATCTGATCACTTAACCTAAAGGACCAAGTCATTACACAGGTCAAAACTAGTACTGATGGCTGCTTTATTCTTACTTGCATGGAGGACAGCACAAATTTTTGCACTAACTTCAAACAGAACTAGACCTCTGCTATATAGACTGATTCTATGTAATAAATAATGATGTATATTTACTGTATACACCCCTAATGGCCACACAATATTAAATTTAATGATTTTTTTTTTTGTTTTTCAGTTACATGCCTTTGATAGCATCTAGAGAATAAACAACTTTTCTCACACTACATCCAAAACATTTAACTTACAGGTGTACAGAAACCAGTCTACAGTTACCCAATACTGCAATTATAAAGTTTTGCTTTTTAAAATTAGTAACTACTTTAGAAACTCTACACATAATATTGCTGCTCCACAAGAACAACATAGCAATCTATTATACTTAACTTCAGTATTTTATACAACGGTAAATACACATCCATGTCATATTTATTTTCTTTTTCAGTATCAGACTTCTAAGTTTCTCCTGATCATCCACTCCTCTGAAACCCCAGAGATGAACACTTGGCAAAGATTCTGCATTCCACATCTCATATCATTTAGCTGTTGCTACAATTTTAATTATGCAAAACTCAATGGGCTCTAATAAAACCTGACTAGGTAATTAATACTCTAAAACATACACTGGGAGCTACTGAAAGGAATGTTATACACAAATTCCCTCATGTCATAGAAAAGACTCATGCAGCAAAGTGTATTTCTCCATAGGTAATACAATATCCCATGATGCTAAACAGCCTTTTTTTTGTTTTTCATCCTATCTGAAATTAAATAATTTTAATATATTTCATTGTTAAAAAGTCACTTTTTCTACTTGTTTCAGTTCAGACACATTCACTCATGTGTATAATAGCAAAACCAGGGAGAGAATATTATAGTAGAGATACAAGAAATATTTTTATAAACAGCAAAGCACTATTTTAAAGTATTTTACTGATATACCCAAAAAGGACTATGATAACATTACACTATTATGTTTAAACTTCACATTTTAGTTATGTCTATGTAATGCAGACATACATCCGTACACTCATATACACCCACATATATATATTCTGAGATAAGATCTACCATTGTGATGCAGATGTTTCCCTGAAACTTACATATGAACGAGAATCTTCCACCATGCCAATTCCACAGACTCAGCCTCATTTTGTGGTATGTTCAAGTCAGGGAGAGGGCAGATGCTGAGCAGACTAAAGGTCTTACTGCTATTACATCCTATTGGTCTTGTGGCAACTAAAAATTATTAAAGAAAATAATCTACAAGCAAGGGTATTAATTTTCAGAGGTCCACATGCTGATTTTACAGAGAAGGGCTAAAAAAGCACAAGACACAAAAGACAGTATGGTATGCATTTACAACTGGGAAAGTCCTTTTCCGTAACAGTGAGAAAACAGACTGTTCTTTCTGAACTTGTTCCCCTGGACATTTTGCAGAGAAGCATGATCTGACTGGTACTTTGACATGATTTGTATTTGTCTTAGAATCCTATCCTTTATCTCCTTAACGCAAGCCAAAAAACATCTGGAACTTTATGTTGTTTTCATAATGTTTTATGCCAAAGCACAGACAGTACTCCTGGATTCTTTTTCTCTTCCTTGACACACCATAAATGGTGATAAGAAAAAACAAAGTTATGAGAAGATCTGTGCTTAGGTTTACACTTCTTCTGTAAGAATAGAGATTATTTTATAACAGAGTGTATTCATATATCTGCATCTGTAGCCTCTTTTACCTTGAGTTTAAAGAAAACACCCTATCAATTTTAAGTATAACCTTGCAAAATTTTGATGCAGTATCAGGCTTTTACAGTTAGTGAATTTTAAATATGGAAGCAACAAGTAATTTGCTTGGTAGTACAAAAGAGATTAATGATGGAACAGAGATTCAAAGCTAAATTTACAGCCATTACAGCTTACCCTGTCCATTGTCCAGAGGCAAATGCATGAGAATCAGCCACTAAGAATCATAACGCATAACAGTGTAAAGGAACACCATTATTCTATTGTGATCATCTATTTGCATCATGAAATCCTCAGCTTGTACTGAGGCTGGACATGCTAACTATTGGTTGCAGTTTGGGTAGTTTTGAGTCCTCAAGTTTCAGGAAGCCCAGCAACAAAGAAAATAGTGAGGCTTTTTTATGTAGAACAGTATCATATGTTCGTACATTTTAGCTATTAAGATTAGCTATCTTTCTCATACAGTCATTGCCCAGTGCATGATACAGAGGCTATGCTATTCATTTGTGCTGCAGTTCAAGGCATGTGCGCAAGCAGAAAACAAACCCTATTTTTCTTAAGAGAAATCACCAAATCCACTAACAGGGATAATTTTCTATTTCTGTAATCAGTCAGTGACAAAGTGAACACTGATATGAATTAATAATCCAAACATAATTTACCAGAGGATACAGCAAAGACTCTAAATATTTAAGTCACATTTTCATTGTGAACATGCTTTATAATGTACTTGGGCCAGCAACTACAACTACAAATCTGACAGAGTTTTAGCATTTGTGGAAAATGCACTTTGGTGAATTTGATTTATCTGTAAAAAAACCTCGCTACACAAAGACAACTTGGATGCAGATTCATTTGGTACTCGTTATGACAAACCAATTGGTCAATGCAATTCATGTGTGTGCACCAGGATGAGAGAAAACAGCTTACAAAAACTTTCTCACAAAAGCAATTTCCTCACAAAAACTTCCGTGCAACAAGGATAAGCAAGCGAGCAAAACCACTGTATAAAGACAGCAGTCAATTTTGCTTATAAACCTCTGCGTGCCACATGCAGGTTAAGTTGTCCCTAATTTGCCAGAAGTCATATAACTCTATAGTGCAGAACAAGTGTCTAAGTAAACTTTTCAACACACCACACAATCAAAAACATTACTAGAAAATGCAATTTCTGATTTCATGAGAAAAAAAGCAGAAATTCAAAACATACTGTGAAATGTATTTTCACAATAACTAAGATGATGAGTAGGAGCCTAGTGACTCTACCAAACAGGCAAATGAACATCTGTCAAGATGTCAGTTATATTGTTCTGTGGTGATGTAACAACATAATTTTACATTAAGAAGGTAAACGTTCACTTATTAAAAAGGAAAAAAGAACAACAGAACAACCCCCCAAAAACCAAAGCAACAGCAATAATTCCTTGTTAAAAGCATAACAAACTAAAAAACCCCAAACGGATAAAATCACTCTGCTAAGAAAACCTAAAATATGCTCTAATATGCTATCCGTATATGTGTATTAAAAGCTAAAAGACACACACATTAAAAGCTAAAGCTACATACACAAAAGAAAGCTATCACTGCTGTATGGACTGCAGAATATTTTTACAGCTATTCTTCATCATCCTTGGAAACATACATTACTCTTAATACAGTAAAATCCTGAAATTTTATAACATTTTGGATTTCTTTGAAATGAAAAGTCCATTATATTGTTTTTTAATTAAATCTATTTCCCCAAAAGGTCTTTAAAGGCTCTACAAACTACCCTGCATTTTATTATTGCTGACAGTTACCTAAAACACGCTTGAATGCCCTCTTTATCCTTTAGTGAACAATTGAAAGATCATATGCTAAAAAGACTTGCACTTTCTCTTCTCCTAGCCCTATAATTAAGGCATTTTAATACATTTCTTCATAGTCATTAAGAGAGCACAATGTTAAAAAATTAATGAAATGAGACAATTTTGAGTTTAACAACCATAAATGCATACAACATAAATTTGTCCCAATTGTAGATATGAAAAAAGGCTTCTTGATATCACATGATGAGATTACTGAATTGTCAAGATTCTGCTTTTGCTGTCTAAGGGTATTTAAATGATGTATGGTAGCCTGACAGTATTACAGTGTTGTTATATACCCTACAAGAGAGGTAAACATTTCTTTCAAACATTCAAATTCCATTGGTTTTAGTATGCTTTTGTTTACCTTATATGCATACATATAAAAAGCAGTATTGCTGGATGATGCTGAAATGGGGGAGGAAAGAGAAGACAGGAAGCAAAACAAGGACATATGAAGGGAAAAATGATCAGTCAGTTGTAAAAAATCTGACACATAATGTAAAATATCACTGCAATAACACCTACTTACAGCAGTACTTTAATAATGCTTAAAATGGAATAAACGAGATTTTCTTAATTAGGATTTTTTTCTTAAGAAAGGGAACTTACTATATTAATGTATCACACATTTTTGCAACAGACATGTTAATAAGTGTGGGTTTTTTTACACCACGAAAGGAATTCACTGTTTCCTAGCATGTCCTCATAGCTTCCACATACACCAATTAAATATAGGGCACATCTATACTGTAGCCACATTATTACTATTTGCAAAAGGTATTACTAATGAGCAAATTAAACAGCATATCTCTTAAAACTAAGTTAAGTTTTTCAAGGTATAAGTGCTTTATGCTTTCGCAACTAAATGTTGAAAAGACACAGCACAGCCTGAAGCGAGATTACAGATTTTTTTTTTTCCTTAAGACAGACAAAAAAATAAGTTACTCTCTGAAAGATTTTTTAGGGTTGTCAGACTGTTATATTATAAACAACCTTATTAGTCCTTTATAATTACAACAGGTACCTCTGGACAAGATCAAGCAGACATGACAAATGCCTCTGACTTCTTTTTAAATTGAACCTGGAAGGTCATCACTGAACAAACAAAATGCTATACAACCAGGGCCATAAATTATGAGAGCTAACGAAAAGGTAAGGTTTTCTGATATTAAAAATTAAAATTATTCTGTTCAGGCTAATTTCTGTTCTTTTTTTTTTTTTTTCCTTTTCTGTATAAAATGAAGAAATAAGAGGATGGAATAGTTTTAAAAAGATAAGTAGCTAAAGAAATCCTTACAAACTTCATTATTACAGTTCTTTCAAGCTGAACCTGTATTTTAGTGCAATGACTTTAGAGCAGTTGCTTTATCTTACAAATATGTTCTTAAAGGTATTCCCTAATTAGGATTTACCCATGTTTGTTATAATTTTTTTTCAGCATTATGATAAAACTGTGGACAGTTTAAAAAACCCACAAACCATCTTGCATCTATGGGATTTGCTTGCTGTTATTCTCAAATCAAACCAGTAAAAGCATAACACGCTACTGTGCATTTTTCCTAACATTTTTATTTTGTGTTAGGATCATTTAACAGTACTGGCAGTTTTAGATTAAATTTAATTCATATGGAGATAAACAGTAACTTAAGTGACTGGAACTGGAAACCAATTGATGGATCTCACGTTTAATTCTCCTATTTCAGTTTGGAGAGGAAATGTAAGGATTGAATTAGAAAGCTGTAAACTCTTGGTAAGAATTAGTGGTATAAAACAAAATAAAACAAAACCTTCAGTTATTTTCCTTACAGTTAGGCTGAATGAAACCGTAAATCAACAAAAGATTTGGATAGCACTCAAATCAACAGCTTTACCTAATAAAAGTTCTAACAGAGCACTGAGCATACCATTTGAAACAAATATGAAATAAATATGAAATATGAATGACTTTAAAAAGAACCATATGAGAAACAAAACAGGAAAATCACCAAAATTTAAGAAGAGGAAATTTGAACTGAAATGTATGATGGGCAATTAAGTACCTATTTTGACAATTCTAAGTGGTCAAGTTTTTAAAGTATGACACAGAAATCTTAACCTATCTATATATGAGTGATAAATGAGGCATTTTGTGTCATTACATTCCCATAAATCACTTTCTTTAACTGCTGATGGCTTTTATCAGGTCTAACCTTTTCAAGCTTCTATCAGAGTGCTAACATTTTCAACTTTGACACATACGCAGTTTACAAATTCTGCAGCTGATTAACTCTGGACAGAAGCTCACTGCCATCATTGTCTTCTTCAAGTTGGGTTACAGCTTCAGTGTCTCAAAAACTCACATGCATTCTTCATATGCCAGAAAATGTCAATTTACTGGGCTTTGTTGCAAAGGATGCGAGGTATTTCTCCTTTTGAAACAAATACATGAGAATATACTTTCAAAATTACTCTTCTACAGAGAGCCTGAAATATGGGTACCTTTCACTACTTTAAAATCAAGTAAGGACTACATTCCAAATAAACAGATAAAATAATGTGATAATTATGTGATCAGTTTTATATGACTTTAAAAAACTTGCAATCAAATCAACTTGATTACATAAAATATGTTGTGGTCAAAGTCTCTGAGGTAAAGAACAATAAAAAGGTGGAAAAAAACCTAAATAGAGCAGTCTATTATATATAGCATTACAAAATATTGTAATTATAATCTGATCGTGGGTCTTTAAATAATTTAGTGGGACCCTCTGCTAAATTTCTCTCTAAAACATTTTGTAAGTTTCAAAGATTATAAATTGGAGTACCGCGAAATTGTAAATTTCAAAGATTCAATTTCAGCATTACAGCAGTTAGAACACAAAATTATTTTGATCATGAAAAACTCAGGACACAATAACAGCTGCAAAGAAATACAGGAAATGATGTTTTATCATGTGTAAGTGAACCCAAAGATTTCAACAAACAGTTGCTTTCTGTAGGAACTAAAAATTAAATTACATATTTGCATGACACACTCAATTTTTGGTACAAATAGTTGATAAAATGCCACATTTCAACAATGGGAAGCCAGCAATACAGTAGTTATTTCTGCCTTAGTAGGAGCAAGACATAGTAAAAATGGTAGTAAAACTTTAATCTAAACACCAGAATTTTCACTATTTTTTAAATTAAAAAACTTGCAGAATATAATTTAATCGAGATGCGTTTATCCACTGAAACAAGCAGTGAAACGTTCACAGAAATGCATTTACAAGATGCAATTGATCCAGACACTGAAACAAAGCTCGAGTTTAAAGAGATACTGTCTTTAATAAGATTAGTCAGATTGAAAAAAATTTCATGTTGGTTGTATGCCCACCGGAAGCCTGGTACTTCAGATGGTATTAGTTTTTATAAGAGCTAACTAGACATCAGACCTAAATAATGAAACCTGAAGAGATAGGCTTGGACCATGCAAATAAGGATGTCCACAGAGGCTCTTCTGCAGCTGATTGTTGCTGATAAACAACACATCTTAGAAAAAAGGACAATTTTTTTCAGCATCACAGCTAAATCAGCTTTGTAACATCAATATTTAAGGCCATCCATAAAAAAATTAAGAAGTTCTTTATTTCACTAATAATGTCACACATCAGAGAAGCCATGCAGTTACACTCTGACAATTCAGATGTAAATCTTGGAATGTCTGTAAGTATTCATGACAAAGGCATATTTATCATTTAAAACAAAAGGACATGATTTCTTGATGTTCATATCAGACTAGTGATGGATGAGAGCATGCTAATCAAATGACAAACCAGAAGGAACACAGATGCTTGCTATTTTGATTAGGAGTGGGAAATGAAGAGCTCTTTCCTAAATTGAGATATAAACACTCTAAAATCATACACACAAATACAGACGTAAGTTTGCATAACACACTGTATAAGCATAGGAGCTCAGTGTGTTCTCAAGTAGACATGCTACAAGTACTAGCTAGAATAACTGCCATTAAGATCAGAAGAAGCCATATACAGTAAAGAAAATCAGACACTGGCTTTGATAAATTCCAGTTAATTGCTTACAAATTTATATATTCAGAAGTTTTTTATCTTTCTTATAGTAAAACTCCCCAAGTAATGAGAGAGAATAATTTAATCTTTCTAATTTGTTTTCTAATGCCTTAGTTCTAGGTTTAAATTATGCATATGTGAAATTACACGTATGTAATTTAAGATTGCATAAAATCAATGTAAGCATTATAGAAAACAAAAACATAGACTGCTTACGTGGAATGAAATATTGCAAGTGTTGAACTTCCAAACCAAATTTTTATTGTTGGCTTTTATATTTTTGTTACTCAGTGTCTTGCTTTACATGTATTCAAACTGTACCAAACTAATTATGCATGTTTAACCAGAACTCCTAAACATCAAGGACTTTGCTCACTAAGCATAAGTCACAACCGCTGTCAGTTAGACAGCTAAAACTGTTAAATTTGTAGATCAGTATGCAGTGGCAAGGTCCAACGAGGCACAACGGTACTTTCACAAAGTACTTGTCAAATGATGGTAACACCCAACTCCTTGAAATCCATCTTTGCCTTCCTCCTTTAAGCAGGTAGTAACTGTAAAGCATATCCCTTTGATACTTTTCCATTAATATTCTGCAATAAGTGAACAATTTTTTGATATCCTCAAGAAAGCATCCTGATCAATCTAGCTCTGACCAGAGAAAGAAAAGCCACTTGCTAAACTGGAGAACCATTCATAAAATGCACTTGTTTGTATCTTGCTGTAATTATGAAGTGGACAAAAGAAGTACTAAAAAATTAAAATATACTGTAATTCAGAGTAATTGCATTTTGTAAAAAATGAGCCCCTCACATAGAGTTTTCAAGAATTTACAAGAAGTAACATTTTATAATCTATAGAAAAGCATGTAATCAAACATAAACGGTAAAACTGAGGGGGAAAAAAGATATTTGAATAGAAAATGCTCTTATTGCAAAAATATTTTAATTACTATTAAAATAATTTTTTCCTGATCCTTTCAGCAGAAATGCATTCAAAGCCTAGAAGTGTATAATGTCTGTCTGAAGTGTAGTGTTTAAAAAAGAAAAACCACCAACACCATAAATCGCTTTGCTTTTCTACTCATAAGCCCTAGAAAGACACATCTGATGATGTGTTCAATGCAGCTCATCCAAATACCCTGAATGCTCCTGTTATGCAATATTAGTTTCCTTGGAAAGCAAATTCTTGTGCTCTGGAGACGCAAATCCATATTGCATAATCACCCAGAAAAAACAAGATGTGGGCAGTTTCAATACATACTTTTCAGTCTCATCTTTAATCAAGAGAAACTGCTCTCACAGAGATCGGAACGGTAACTTTGGACTCCACAGTGGCACTGTATTTCTTTTTCCCTCAGCCAAGATTTCCTAGACATAAGGAATTTGTGCAGCTGTGTGTAAATATGACTGCTGTCCATTAACTGGCTTCTTAATCTACTCATACCTCAAATTTCAATTAGATTCTGCACTACCATAGCAGTCTCATGTTTTTACATGCTTTATTTACTGTGAGTCTTATCTGTAATAAGCTATTGACATTGTTTACTTTCTTCCTATATTAGTACAAATAGTTTTATATTCTATATGTAGTAGTTTATCATTTAATATATTAAAGGATGCTTAAGACACAACTAAATTCCTCCACCTCTTGGACCCTTTTTTGAAAAATTTACTGGGTGCCCAATATATATAATATTCAATAGCATGTGAGAATAATTTTTATGCAACTCTGATAGTTAGAAAGATAGATAACTCAATTATTAGATCATCTATCAAAATATTCAGATGTATAAGAGGCTACTAAAAAGATTGATGACTGAGAAAGTCCACTGATTCTCTAGCCATCATATTCACACATTTGGCTAGACAACATTTTTCGCTGCCTTCACAAGCAAGCTTCATTACCCATCACTCCACTGAAAAGAGTTTATTATGAGGCTGCCATCTTGGCAAGACTATTATTTAGATGATAAATGTTTGGGGGAAAAGTGTATCTAGATTTTTTTTTTTTTTTTAAGATGAGCTTTTTGACAGATAAAACAACATCTACATTTCTAATTAACTTAAATTTGGCATATACAAACACAGGTCAGTAAAG